CTGGCGTGGGTTTTTCGGATTTGGCTAGTTTAAGTAACGAAGAATAGAAGGATATTGGTATCAACATTAGTATCAAGATGAATTTGCTAAAAAACAACAAGATATGGCATCTACAGCATCCGGAGGCTGTTAACAAGGTTGTAGAGCATCTCCTAAGTGAGCTTGATCTTGATATACCTAAGGAGAGCAGAGGCGACGAGCTCTAAGCTCATAAATAGAGGATAATTAATATTAAGGAGTGTGTATAAACGTTGAGAAGTGTATTAAGTTTATATATATTATCATTTATTTTGTATAAGAACACACATAAATTTAATTACTAGAGTATATTTAAGTTACTAGCGTATATATAAGCTCACAGAATTTAATTCCAAAATTTTACTTAAATAAAAAATCCGTGCTAAGACTTAGGCTTGGCAGGATATTATAACTTAATACTATAAATTCTATCAAGATAACAGTTTGCTTTTTAACAATTATAGCTTAACTATAGCAGCTACTATTACTTCTATACTATTAATTGATAGCTCTCTATCTATACTATCTCTCTGTAGCTTTATAGCGCCTCAAGCGTATTATAAAGCATATTAATAGTGGTTTTGTTAACGCAAAAAAATAATAATAGTAAAAGTAATTCTTTATATGCTTCTTAACGCCACAAAGCTGCATAGCAAGATAGAAAAAGCCCTCATACCAGTCAGAAAACTGCCCTGCAAGCTCTCTATTCCGTCTTATCCATGCTTTTAACAGAGAAAATGAGAATTCGATAGGGTTAAAGTCAGGAGAGTAAGGAGATAGATATATTAATCGAACGCCTGCCTCTCAGCATATATCTCTTAGCTCCTATATATAAATATCAGTATTAATAGTAAATATAGCGTCAAGAGCTTACTTGACTATGATAAGCGCTATGGTTATCCATAATCAGCACTAACCGTAGCCTAAGATACGGATTTATCTTCATTAGTAATCTTTGAATAAATGCGTTAAATCTCTCGCGGTTAAAGCTGCTGTGGTATATCTCATAATCGAGATAGCCATTAATCCCTATAGCTAGCAAGATACTCCATCTCCTTAAGCGCCCATTTGGTACTATTACTCTGCACGGTACGCCGTATGGAGACCAACCTCTTTTACGGTCTTTTGTGCGCTCATGCGCAGCCGATTCGTCGACGAATATAGCCTCCTCAGCACGAACTTCGCATATCTGAGCTCTATAGTAGTCTCGCAAGTCTTCATCTCGCTCAGCAGCTTGACGCTCAACCTACAAAGTAAGTCCGAATTTGTGCGAATTAGAATGATACAATACTAACAGCTTTCTGGGTGATCTTCTCCTTTGCCAGCGTTCGACAGACAGTTGATTTCGATACTTCTATATCATACTCCTCATCTAGAAACGCTACCATTTCGTCTAGATACGAGAGCTTCTTCTCCGAGCCGTTATCCAGAAGCCAATCAAGGAGGCCCTCAAGCGCCTCTGGAGTGATTTTTTGCGGCCTACCCATCTTCGCTTGAGGCGCTGGCCGTGGCTCTCCGAACGTATCAATATTCTGCCGGATTCGGCCCACAGTTGAAGCGTGGCATCGAAATCTATAAGCTATTTCTCGTGGTTCTACGCCTGTAGCAAGCAAAAGGGCCATTTCGTCGACGGTCGACTTCGAAAAGCGCAGTTTGCTCATCGCGAACTCAACACCAAGGGCCAGCAGTTGAGATAGGGCAAGAGAAGGGCGTCAGCGAGGTCTATGAGCAATTTCAAGCAATTTCTACGCGTTCTACGGCCCTAGGGAGCTATTCCTACATCTCACCGCAATTCTGCCTCGCGGCGCCAGCAATTCGAGGGTAGCGCCAAGGAATTGCAACACTTTCGCAATGCACAGTACTCGGAGCTTGGACAACCGTCGAGAAAATTCAGCGAAAGGACACGACGAATCCAGAAGCGACTGCAATGGGAGCCACAGGATGCCGAACGACTTCGATCGCGTTTAGCCGCTCATGTCAGCGTACTAAATACCCTTCTTAGCAGCCTTAATAGGTGTGTGGTTCATATCTGTTTACTATACTCGGGCTCTGGCAGCTAAACATCATTTACCCTAGAGACGTCTTAATTCAGGTGAAGGATGGAGTGGACAAACTGAATAAGAAAGGAGATGATAATGAACTGCGAGTGCTTATAAACTGGCTGACACCTGTTAATTTCTCGGACCAGTACAGTGATTCTATCTCCAGACGAACAAAAGGAACTGGGAAATGGCTCTTGGTGTCGGAAGAGTATACCCGATGGCGCGATGGCATGCAGCAGACTCTTCTATGCCCCGGGATCCCCGGCGCTGGGACATCGTGGAAGACCTCCTGGAGCATGCCAAGAAGAGTTCCAACCATGTCATTGTTTACGCATACTGCAGCTACAAACGCCAGCATGAACAGACGTTCTCAAATCTGATAGCCACCCTTTTACGACAGTTTCTTCTTCAGCTACCCGCAGTCCCCGATGATTTTCGAAAGCTATACGAGTGCCACACCAACGCTAGCTCCCGTCCGAATATTGATAAGAATGAGCTCCGCAGCCTCCTCTACTCTGCCACAGAGACATGCGCCAAAGTCTTTATCGTCATCGATGCCTTGGATGAATGTACAGACGATGTTCGCGGCGAGTTGCTCTCCGAGCTTTTCGAACTACAAACAAAGTCCAACATTGACGTCAGTTTCTTGGCTACGACACGCTACATGAAGAACATTCTCGAACAGTTCGAAGATTGCACCGAGCTAGAGATTCTAGCTAACGAGCCTGATATCGGTCAATCCCTTGGTAGCCAAATGCGCCGGTTGGCACCGTGTGTCGCCAGAAATGCAGAATTGCAGGAACTGATTAAGACCCGCGTCATCAGCGCTGCTGAGGGCATGTACGTGTGTCCAACGGACCCCGAATACCGTTCAGGTCGTGTTGTTCAGTAGCTGACCACAACACAATGTCCTTAGGTTTCTCCTCGCGCAGCTTCATTTTGATTCACTTACCGACAAAACCACGCCTAAGAGTATCAAATCGGCACTGGATAGCATGCAAATAGGATCAGACGCACTCAACAATGCCTATAAAAACACAGTTGAGAGGATTCAAGCTCAGCAAACTGGCTTTCGAGATCTAGCCCACAAAGTCCTGTCTTGGATCACTTATGCTGTGAGGCCGTTAACAGTCAAGGAGCTTCAGCATGCCTTGGCAGTCAGCCTCGGAGATACAAAGATCGACGAAGAGCATATCGAGGATGAGGAGCCGATGGTCTCTGTGTGCGCCGGTTTGGTAACCGTGGACGCTTCAGGTAAGAGTAATGTCATCAGATTCGTCCACTATACCACTCAAGCATACTACGAAGATGCTGGAAAAGAATGGTTACCCAGTGTCCACTTTGACATTGCAAGGAGCTGTATAGCCTATCTGTCTCTCGAAAACTTTTCATTTGGCACGTGCTCCACATATGAACAGTTGAAATCTCTGATGACACAGAATGCTTTCCTGGAATATGCGGCACAAAACTGGGGGTGGCACGTCTCTTACGTCGAAGCGCAGATTATCGAGGACGCAGAGTCGCCTCTTATGCCATTCCTAATGAAAGAGGACAACATCAATTGTGCGGCTCAAGTTAGGCAAGGAGCCGTCTACTACAGAAATGGTGTGATGGTTCAACCGCGCGTGACGCCCCTTCATCTTCTTACCTGTTTTGGGTTACGTGAGAGCATCAACTTATTTTTGAACAACAATCATCACCCGAACGACAGAAACGAATTGGGTGAAACTCCACTCTCATGGGCTGCAACAGAAGGGCATGAGATAGTCGTGAAGCTGTTACTAGACAGGGCGGATGTTGAAACTGATCCTAGAGATCTATTTGGTCAAACACCACTTTCAAAAGCTGCAAAGTACGGACATAAGAGCATAGCGAAGTTGTTATTAAACAGGCCGAATGTTGAAGCTGACTCTAAAGATGTAAATAAATGGCCGAACACCACTTTCACTTGCTGCAAAGTGGGGAAGTGAGACGGTCGTAAAGCTGCTGATGGACAGACATGATATTAATGTCAATTCTCTTGGCAATTACGGTACACCACTTTCAGAGGCCGCCTTTAGGGGACATGTGGAAGTTGTGGTGCTGTTGTTGACGAATCCCGATGTAGACGTCAACATTCAAAATTTCCAGGGCCATACAGCCCTCTTTAGAGCTATTAGAGGGGAAGCTATAATGGGGAACAACGAAGATACTGTACGGTTGCTACTCACCCGAGGCGATTTGGATATCAACTTAAGCGACGAGCTTGGTGAAACACCACTTATACTTGCCATGTATCATGGCCTTGAAGATATTGTACGGTTGCTACTCACACGAGATGATTTGGATATCAACTTTAGCGGGCAAGAATTGTCAAGCACCGCTTAACCGTGCGCTTCATTGTGGCCTTGCAGAAATAGCGACACTACTGCGGGAGCGAGGAGCTGTTGCGCCCGATCCTTACAATATTGAAGGGTTTGACGTCCTCTTCTGACTCATAGGCATTTGATTGACCGCATATAGTCAGAAAATGGATATGTGGCTAAGGAAGAGGCCGTAATGCGTTTATCTATGCTTTATACTCTCGCTTCCGGTTAAACTTCGTTACTGCCCGTTCCAAAAGTGTTGCAATTCCTCTTTTGTGAAGTTGGATCACTATCTCACTCTTTCTAAGCTAGTCTGATACCTCCTTAATAGTATTATAAGGCACATTAATAGTAGTTTTATTAATCTCAAAAAAGTAATATCAAAAATATGCTTTTGCGTACCTCTTAATACTATATTGTTGAATAGTAAAATAAAAAAAGCCCTTAATTATTTATTAAAGCTATCTGTTAGCTCTTGATGCCCCTTTATCTATGCTTTTAGTAGAGAGAATAATAATTTAATAAGATTGAAATTAGGAGAGTATAAAGGAAGGAATATTAATAAAATGCCTCTCTTTATATATATATCTTAAAGCTCCTAAACGCTATTATTAGTATTAATGCTAAATAGAGTTATTTTGAGCCCTATCTGGCTGTAGTAAGCGTTATAGTTATCTATAATTAGTACTA